CGACCGGTCCTTGCCTGGGCAGCCCCCCGCCACTGGGGAGGGCAGGATGAGGCACTTCTCCAGCAGCCGCACACAGAGGTCTGGCGTGGACGGCAAGGCACTGCGGGCAGGGGTGCCGCCGCGGCACCCCACGAGGAGCCGGCGTGTCCGTGGCTGCCTGTGGGGCCAGGCTGGACCGGGGCAGCAGCGGAGCCTCTGCCGCAGCCGTCGGCCTCCGGGTCCCCCGGCAGTGCCGCAGCATGGAGGGGCTGGGGCGAAAGCCGGGGGTGGCACCACGGGGTGGGCAAACATCGGAGCCGGCAGGAGCAACACCGAGGGGCGGCTGCATCGTGGGTGCTCTCCACCCGCTCCGCTCGGGCGGCCTGACACCAGCCCCAGGGCAGCATCTGTCCAAGCGAGTGTCCGTGCAGGATGGAGGTGCCGCTGGCACGTGCCGGGGACCCCTCGGCAGTGGCGGCTAGCGGTCGTGGCGCAGGTCGCCGTGCTGTGCCCCGTGCCATAGGCAGCCCATGGCGCAGAGCACAGCGGCGATCCGGGACGCGTGCCGGGGTCCCCTGGCACCGGGGAGCTGCTCGGCAATCACGTCCCCTCTCTTCCTCTCCTATGCAGCCCCAGTGGGTGTCCTGGCCGTGGCGTGGCGCGGGGCCGCCACGGTCGTGCTCACATGCTATCCGCCAGCTGGTGACAGTCCAAGTCCCCCTTCAGCTCCAGGAAACCCGGCAGCTTCACCCCCGTCTTGCGGTCCACGCACCAGCACTTGCCCCGCTGCCCATCCAGCGCCGGGTGACACTGAGGGGACGGGTTCGGTGAGGGGGTGCCCAGCCTGGCCCCCACGGCTCCATCCCCATGGGCTGCCTGGCCGGGGCAACCGGGAGCTCTTGGGGGGGGTGTTTCCCACCCCCATCCCACCCCAAGGCTTTTGCAAAGGGCCCCACAACACCCGAAGGGTGATTCCCACCGAAGCCAGGAGCCACGGGTGCCCTGCCATGTCCCAGCACCAGCTCGTCCATTCATCCATCCCCCTTCCCGGCATCACCCTGGCTCTGCAAAATGCCCCCACGCAAGTGACACACTCCATGATGGGCGAGAGCCCGTCCTACCTGCTTGGGGTGGAAGTTGCCATTGCGGTCGCAGTTGGGGATGGGGATGACGTACAGGTCCTCGTGCGTGCGGGTCTGCGAGGCGGCCAGCCTTTCCAGCGCCCGGTGCAGCTCGCTCTGGCACGAGCCCTGTGCCTGCGGGAAGCGGGGGGCTGAGCCGGCAGCGGGGCTGGCACGTGCCCCCGCCCCAGCGCCCCAGGACCCCAACCCTGGAGCACGGCCCAGGGTTGCTCAGCACCCATCCTGCCCTCCCCAGCCCAGCACCGCCCCGGTGCCGGCTGCCCACCGCGGTGCTCACTATGGGCCGCGTCTCCTCGCGGTGGTACGGGCTCCCACTGTTGCGCATCTTGTTGCCGTTGTTGACCCGCTTCGCCTGCTGCTTCTGCAGGCACTTGCGGTCGTGGATGCTGCAGGGGCTGAAGCTGTTGTTGGGGTGGTCGACCTCCTCCTTCTCTGCAAGGACACAGACCGGGGAGGGGGGGCTCAGTGCCGCGGGGCAGCCCCGAGGATGGCGGTGCCACCACGGTGCCCTGGCCCCTGTGGAGCAACTTGCACCCCCAGGCACAACGTGCAGCCGGTGCCGCCGGACCCCCACACCGCCCTCCCCGGTCCCCACAGGCATCACCCCCAGCCCCGGGGTCCCCTCCTGCCCCTGCCACTGCACTGGGCTGAGCTCTCCCTGCAGCTCCTGGGAGTTTTTACGACTCATTAGCCACGATTCACGGGCTTGTTGCCATGTGTCTGTTATTGTAGGGTTGCAAACGCACGCTGCGAGAGCGCCGGGCAGTTGCTCCAGTGTGCTGCGCGGCACGAGAGTTTGGTTGTGCCCTGGCCAGCCACGTGCCACCAGGTACACCCACAGCACCAGACCCACGGGGCTGGAAGGTGACCCCAGGATGCACAGGAAGCCCAAGGAAGCCCCCGGTGCCCCCAAAAAGCTGCCTCCGAGGAGCTGCAGTGGGAATGGGGGCACCAGCACTGCACCGGGGAGGTGCTGAGCACCCGCCAGGCCCGGGGCAGCACCGGGCGCCGCGGCTGAGAGCAGAGCTGTGCTCTGCCATAGGGCACGGCCCCCGCAAAGACATGAAAGAAGAAATTCCTGGAATAAGAAAGTTAATCTCCCGCGGGGCCAATCCCAAAAGGCGGTGCTTGGCATCCTCGCCTGCGCCAGGAGCACAGCCAAACTGCAATCCCAGATGTTGGCAGCTGGATGGAGCGTCATGAGACTCAAGCTCTCGGCGCGACTTTATTTTTTAAAAAGCTGCCAGTCCCTCCAGTTTGGGGCCCGTTAACACTCTGTGGAGGGGGGATGCCCCCAGGAGCCAGGGTCCCGCCTGCGCTCAGAGCCACGTCAGGAACAGCCCGAGCAGCGTTTTGACTCCCAACCCGCCTGGGCTGTAAGAGGAAAGCAGCCAGGGCTCCCTGCCCGAGTTTATCCCGGGGTTGGGCTTATACTCATCAATATTGCAGCCGGCAACGGGAAAAACCTCCCAAACCAGGCGGGGGGCGGTCACTGGGTGGAAGCAGCACCCAGGGGCTCACAGCACCAGGGACAGAGGCTGCCAGGGTGATGCCCAGCACCAGCCCTTCCCGCAGGCAGGCAGCAGGCAGGCAGGCAGCAGGCAGGCAGCGGGGTCAGAGCTGCAGCCTCCTGCCCACCGCATCCCCATGGGATCCCAGCCCCGGTCTCCCATCGGCACTTCACGCGGTGGCTCCCCTGCGACGAAGGGCTCCTGGACCAGCTCCCAGCAGCCTGGTTAAAGTTCACAGCAAAGCCCCGATCAAAGCCTTCTCCTTCATCTGTGTTGATTTGCTTTTTGTTTAATCTGTCAGTTTTTTCCAGGAAATGGCTCATGCCCTTGAAATTTGAAACACAAACCCAAAGTCTCCAGGACCCCGTGCAGAGCGATGCCAGCCCTGGCGCACACCAGCCACGGGGCCGTGGCGCAACGCAGGCACTGGCGGCAGAGCCCAGCCGGGGGCTCGGGCAGGGATGCTCCTTCCCGCCTCTGCCTCCACCTCCTCGGGGAGACACGCAAGGAAGAGCTGGGTGGGAGACCTGGCACTGGTGGGGACCACCATGCCAAAGTCCCGGCAACTCCATGCGCTGCTCCTGCGCCGTGGAAAGGCAGGACCGGGAGGCACCGGCCACTGCCCGCTGCCCGGGGAAAGCCCTCACCCAGCCCCAGCATGGACAAACACCCCTCCTCCCCCCGCCAGCCACCTTCAGAGCGTCAAATCTCTCGGCTTAAATAAAACCAGATGCCAATAACATTTTCATAAGGTCACATGAAATGTCAGTGCCTCTGGGCAGCGAGGCGGCTCTTGCCGGCACTCGGCTCTGGGGACAAAGCTCTGGGACCCACGGTCCCCTGACTCATGCACCAGCTCCGGGATCCCTCCCTGTGACGGGGATCGCCGCAGTCCTTGGGGTGATTTTCCCACCCGCTAAGCGACACGCGGCAGCTCGAGGAGCCTCTCGCCTCCCTTGGCCATCCTCCTGCACCAGCTGGACAAGGGAACTCCTCGCACTCATGCACAAAGATATGGAAAAAGCAACTTCTGTGGAGCCTGGAGGCCCCCGACCTGCCAGCCCCCCGTGCGGCTCCCGGTGCAGCCTGCTCTGCCCCAGCCCCTTGGGAAGCACCACCTGGATGCCGGCCCAGCAGCACCGGTGCCTGCGCGGTGCCCCCAAACCTCCCCACACCTCTCCCCCCCCCAGTCCTGCTCTGCCTGGCAGCCTTGGCCACGCAGGGCAGCCCACGCACCGGCCACCACCACCCTGGTGCTGCCGGTTGCGGTTGGGGCTGTGCCGGCAGAGAGAGGTCTCCGAGCGGCAGGGGAGGACAGGCGGAGCGGAGGGGGGGGTGCCTGCTCGGCCAAGGGCTGGGGTAAGCCCCTCTGCTCGGTTTGGGATGGAAGTGGGCGCCAAGGGGATGGGAACGGGTGCTGCCCTTGCCGACCATGCAGACCGGCCGCCCCATCCCGGCAGGAGGAGGGTTTCTGCACAGCCTTCTGCTCAGCCCATGGACAGGAGACACAAACGAGTCATTCAGCGTCGCCTTCAATTAACGGGAGCAGCAAATGAGGTTGGTCACATGCTGAACTTGTGATTCACCGTGCTGAGCCCAAGGGAGCAGGGAAGGGCTCCGGCTCCACCGCGCGGTTCCTCTGGGAGGAGAGCCTGGGGCAGCGAGCGAAGGCCCGGGACCGTGTGTGTGTCCGTGGGAGAGGGACAAGTCTCTCGGGTCCCCACAGCTCCAGCCCTGCTCCCCCCTACTCCACCAGCCCAGGCGCAAAGGACCCCACGTGCCCCATGGGCCAGAGGGGACACATCCACGTGTCTGTGGCCGACATGGCACGAGCCATGGTGAGACCCAGCACCCTCCACTTCCCTGTCTGGCACCTCCGGTGTCGCCTGCGGGTGGTCCTGGCAGGGCCACGGTGCAGGACCAGCTCTCTTGGCTGCCGGGGCTTTCGATTTGGCAGGTGCCGGCACAGGGAAGTCTGTGCTCATCCTGCCGAGCACTGGCCCCGGCAGAGCGTGGGGAGCCAGGGCATGGGGGTGGCTGGGGCACAGGCACCTACTGCCCCTTGGCCAGGGGCACCAGCCAGCACATCTGCACCTCCCGGCTCAGCACCCAATGTGAGCCCAATGGAAGAGAGGTCGGGATGCAGGAGAGGGAGTGAGGGGCACTTCCCCACAGGGACCAGAGCCTTGCCGGGAGTATCACCCAGCCCGGAGAAACCCAAGCATGGGTGAAGGCCAGATGGCATCCCAGGGGACAGATGGGACAGGGCAAGAGCCTCGCCTGTCCCCCTGACCAGGCGGAAAGGAGCTATGATGGATGCATGCGGGCTGGACACCGCCGGGGGCTGAACCCAGCCTGTCCTTGCTGCCCGTGTGCCGTCCAGGTGAGGCTTGGCCATCGCTCTCCCTCCTGGCCACTGCACACAGGAAGGGAACAGGATCCGTCCCAGCCACTGCTTACACCAACCACACGGGATGAATGCAACTCCCATGGGGTCAGTTTTTCCCAGACATAATTATTTACCCAGCATGAAATCACTCGTCGTGTGTGCTGGGGAAAACGTCCTCACCTCTTCCCGGCTGCCACACACGGGTTCAGCCATCACCTCCCCCAGGCACCCACAGGCTGTGCCGAAAAGCCACAGCTGGAACCTCCCGTGGCTGGCCCCGTCGCAGGGCTCTGGCCCAGCAATGGGATGCCCCGGGAGCCAGCCCGGAGCTGGCAAGGCTGGGATGGGAGGCAGGGACCAGGGTCCTGCGCAAGGTGCCCAGACCCACAGCCACGGGAGAGGGTCTTGGGTCAGAAGAGCGGCCACCCGCTCCCTCGCTTCCTAGCAAGTCCTGCGGGTCCCCGGGAGCGGAGAGGCTCTTTTCTGGCAATGGAGCAGGGAGCCATCGTCCAACCCTTTGGAAAGCCCAGCCCCCCACCGACTGCAGCCTCTTCCCTGGAATGCGGAGCCCCCCCCCCCCCGGGCCGAGCCCCCAGACAAAGTGTTTACTGTACGAGCTGCACGTTAACTGCTTCCCAGCCGCCCGCCCGCTGCAGCCTCCACTGGCCCGGCACCCGCTCAGTCCCGGGGGACACGGGCACAGCCGGAGGGCACCTGCTCCATACTTCTCTGCCCCTAAATAGGCATTTAATTCCCTTCTCCTTACCCACAGGGGACCCACTGGATGCACCGGCCGTGCCACGGTGCCCTCGCTGTGCCAGGCAGGGCTGTGGCGGGAGCGATGGAGCCTGCAGCCCCCAGCCCCACACTCCCACTGGCTCCGGGCTCCCGGAGCGGGAGAGGGACCCACGGCTCAGATGTCCCACCGGGACCTTCCCACCAGGGCCGGACCGAGCGATGTGCTGTGGGTTCTCCTGCCCATGTCCTGCCGGGGTGTCTTGGGCAAAGGGGCTCGCTGCTGCCCACTCCCCCCATCCTGCCACCTGCAACGCTGCAGGCAGGCGCGGTGCCCGGCGAGTGAGCCCAGCTCCCACGGCCACCCATCCATCCCCAGCAAGGCCAAAACACGGCGGGAAGGAAGGGAAAAAACTGCAAGTCTGTTTCCTAAAGGCTCTGGGAAAAAATGTGGCGTTACACAGGGCACGGCCAAAACCAACAGGCATTGGCAGCCTGACACAGCCCCTGGCCAGGGAGCCCAGACAGCTCCTGCAGGATGTGGGATGAGGACAGACAGGCAGGGTAGGGGGTCTCCGCAGCGGACCCCATGCCGAGCACTCATGGCCAACTGCGGTCCAGGGAGAGGGGTGGCCGGAGGGGCCCATCTGCGAAGGGCCCTCCTCACCATGGGGACACCAGCAGAGCTGCCATGGACCAGCCATGCAAGGAGGGAAGCGGAGCTGGGCTCCAGCCCTCGGGGGGGACAGGGACAGACACCGCTCCAGCCCCTTCTGCCCCTCGGGGAGCTCCGGGTGACCCCACGCAGAGACACAGGGCCAAGACTGCTTGTGGACTGTCCTGTGGCAGGATGCTGCTCCCCAGCTCCAGGGGACGTGGTCCTGATCACAGCCCACAGGACAGGGAAGGGGGAGCACAGCATCCAGACCCACTGACGGCCCAGCCCCACGGCCCAGGACTCCACGCTCAGCCCCCAGGAGTGGTTCTGTTCCCACTGTCAAAGCCGCGGTGCGACCGGTGCAGCTCTGGGGCTGGGCTCCCACCTCCGGCTCCACTCCCGGCCCCCAGACCCTGCCCGAGCACCAGGGGGGTGGCAGGTGGTCACGATCGAGATCTGTGAGAGCGTCCTGGGGCAGACACACACAGGCAGAGCCGACAAGCAGCAGGCTTCTCCGGCCTGGCCCTGCCTGCTGCCTGCACTGTGCTGCCCTGTCCGGCCGCGGGAAGGACACGGCTCTTGGCAGAGCCCCGGCACAGAGCCCAGCCTGACCTGCCTGCGAGGGAAGCAGGTGCCCCGAGGCCTCTTTCCTGTTTCCCACCGGGAGCATCCCAGGGAAGGGGCAGCGCAGGGGTCACTGTGCAACGGGAGCTTCCCCGGCAGCTGGGACCTGTCCCCGGGGGCTGTGGGTGCCGGCAGGACCCCGAGCTGCCCTGCCATCCAGGGGCACCCTGCAGCCGGGGCATGGCGGGTGATGAGTCCCCGCGAAGCGCCCCACTCCAGCACGTGTGGTGCCACTGGCCGCGGCACCGCTGCGCCCGCGGTGGGTCAGGATGGCGCAAATGGGACCCGCTGGCACCCGGCTGCGGGAGCTCAGCACCGCTCCCTCCCTGGGACACGCGCCCCGTGCGTGCCCATCCCCGGGCTGTCCCGTCCCCTCCCGCCGCAGGGTCCCCGCTGAACCCCCCAACCCCGCTCCCGGCCCCGTCGCCCCAACTCTCGCCAAGCGAGCGGAGAGCCGGTCGCCGCAAACCGGGGCTGCCCCGGGGAAGGGGCGGGGAGGGGGGGAGAGCTGCGCCACCAACCCGGCGAGGGGCGAGGAGCCCCCGGCACCCACCCCTCGCCCCTCCAGCCGCCCGGGACCGGCCTTACCTGGGGGCTGGAGGCTTTCCTGGATGGCCTCGACGTCGGCCAGGTCCGTGCAGACCCCCTGGCCGTGCATGAGGGTGTGCAGGGGCCTCGGTACGCCGCGGGGCGGGTAACACCGGAGCCCGGCGCCGCAGCGGGCGGTGTAAACGCCGCAGGGGGTACCGCGGCCGAGGGCGCAGGTCGCGCAGCAACCGCAGCCCGGTTCCCGCACCAGCTCGGCGCAACCCTGCGGTGCTTTGCAACGAGCCAGCCGCTCCTCCGAGCACGGCGGGCACTGGATCGCTTCCTCGCCGCCGCCCGGTCCCGCCGCCGCCGCC